CCCCCTGGTTCAAGCAATTCTCTGCCTCAGCCTCCTGAGTAGCTGGGATTACAGGTGCGCGCCCCCACGCTGTGCTAATTTTTGTACTTTCTAGTAGAGACGAGTTTTCACCATGCTGGCCAGGCTGGTCTCGGACTCCTGACCGCAGGTGATCTGCCCGCCTCAGCCTCCCAAAGTGCTGGGATTACAGATGTGAGCCTCCATGCCCAGCACCATTTTAAAATATACAATTCAGTGGCATTAGTGCGTACCCATTGTTGTGCAGCCATCACCACTGTCCATCTCCAGAACTTTTTTCATCTGTCCCCATTAAACACTAGCTCCTCATTCTTTCCTCCCGCCTGTTCCTGACAACCACCATGCTTTGTCTCTATGAATTTGACCACTTTAGATACCTTTTCCTTAGGTGCCTGTGGGTTCGTTTAGTGGCATTTTGTGGCTGCTTTCACTTTGCATAATGTCTTCAAGGTTCATTCATCTTGTAGCATGCAACAGAATTTCCCTCCTTTTTTGAGCTGAATAACATTCCTTTGTATGTGTGTATACCATGTTCTGTTGCTCATTCATCCATCAATGATATCTTGGGTTGCTTCTCCCTTTTGGCTATTTGTGAATAATGCTGCTGTGAACATTGGTATACAAGTATGTGTTCAAGTTCCTGCTTTTCATTATTTTCAGTACAGATGCTCCTCAACTTAGGGTTACAACCTAATAAGCCCATTATAAGTTGAAAATATAAGCCAGAAGTGCATTTACCACACCTAACCTACTGAACATAGCTTAGCCTACTTCAACTGTGCTCAGAACACTTATGTTACTGTGGCTGACCAGAAGCCGCGGCTCACTGCTGCTGTGCAGCATCGTGATGGAATATTGTACTGAATTGCTAGCCTGGAAAAGAACAAAATTTAAAATTTGAAAATGATTTCTACCAAATGCATGTCACTTGTGCACCATCATAAATTTGAAAAATCTTCAGTTGAATTATGGTAAGTCAGAGATCATCTGTATATCCAGAAGTGAAATTGCTAGATCATATGATAATTCAGTGTTTCACTTTTTGAGGAACTGTCATGCCGTTTAGCAACTGCACCATTTTCTCCTCCCACCAACAGTGTCCAAAGGTTCTAATTTCTCCCCATCCTCACCAGCACTTGTTATTTATTAGTAATAGCTATCCTAATGGGTGTGACACTGGTGTCCCATTTCGCCAGTGAATGGTGATGTTGAGCCTCTTCTCATGTGGTTATAGCCATTTGTATGGCTTTGGAGAAATGCCTATTCACAGCCTTTGCTCATTTTTGACTTCAGTTGTTTTTTGTTGTTTTTGTTGAGTTGTAGGAATTATTTGTATATTCTAGTGTATATTAGGTCTTAAAGAGTGGGCAAATTAAAGATCAGAGGAGGGTTATTTGACCTCAGCCAAAATTGGAAGAGGTAGTACTTTCCTCTTAAGAAGTTTGGGATTCTTTAGGAAGTTGAGGTGAAAGCGAGAACATTCCAAATAAAGGGAGTGACAAGAGCAAAGGCATAGGATGGGGAACACCAGCATATGTTTGGAGAACGGTGGGAATTCTGTTTAGGTTAAATCATAAGGTTGGGCTATAGGGACCCTAAGGCTAAAAAGATAGATTGTGAAGGACAGAGAAGAATATACTTGTGGTCAGGAGGATGGCCTGCATACATGCCTATCTCAGATCAGTCAGCAGGGTTAGGGGCTAGTGTTCTGCTTGTCACCTCTGGAGGTAGGGTCCCTTCCATTTACAGTGCATGCCTGAGAATGTAGGATTTGGATGGGAAGGGAATCTTCTCAAATAAGAATCCAAGATTGTTACTGAGAGAAGAGGGTAGGTATATTGAGGAGGCAGCCATCAAATGTCAGCGCTTAGACAACACAATAGGCAATCAGTAATCATTTGATTGTGAATGCATTGAATGACAAAAATGCTTACCCATCTTGCTCAATCAGCATCTTCTAGCCCTTGAAGAGCCTTACCATTCCTCTGGAATCAGAGCTACCAAGGAAGGACTATTAGGATAATGAGGAGAGCTAATGCTTATTTAG